TAAATACTAGTAATTGCTTACAACAAGAGCCACTACATCATTTCCTCCTTCAGGAGTTTTGTCTAATATCTTTTGCGAATTACCTGGACAGAAGAAATTATGATTGGTGCCACACGACATGCATTAGATATCTATTCTGTTAAACATCACATTGCTACATGTAGCAGATATGTTCTTATGAATCTGATATCATATCTTATTTATAAGGACAGTAAGTGATCAGAGGCCCCGATCTTTCAATATCGCATTAAAGTAAGTTTTGTCATGGAGTACTAAAACTTCCTAAACTACATACGTTTCATTTATTTCTGGAAAGCGATATAAAACACTACAGACGCCTCTTTGACATTAGTATATGCTTACGGTATTTACCTTCCATACGACAATAAAGCTAAATTGCTACAAACGAATAAAAAAATGTGGTGACTTTAATTTTACGTTTGTTGCGGCTTTCATTTCGTTAGTAGTAGTATACCAGCCTCTTCTGATCATATGGCGTTTACTCAGGAGACTGATTTTAGTATACTCGAATGGTATTTTATTAGAAACAAGACATCATGGCGGATGCTACTTTGGGTGAAAGACACCGTTATACCTCCATTTTTTATTTTTTGTGAGGTTCATGGTGTTTTCATTTGGTTTGGCGTTTATTTGGTTCCTGCTGCAGTCCTGTTGCAGCTTCCCCGCTAACATCCTTGTATGTTGAAGATTTTTCGTTCCTTTTTTTTTTGTTTATTTACTTTTTTTCTTCATCTATTTTTTTATTGGGGGGAGAGGGGGGCTTAATATAATGTCTCCTCCTGTTTGATATATTATATACTGACATAAGTGTAATTTAACACCCTGGTTAGCAGCAATACTGCTTATATGGCTTACTGAACATGCGCCCTTAAAAAGAAAGGTATACATTTAAATAAAAAGCAATATGAATACCATTAAACTGTTTCAACCGTTAGCAAGTAATCAATATGTCTGAATCGTAGTGCCGAGCAATATTCGAATGTTTGTCCAGCCCTATTAGCAATAAAACTACAGTTATTATTCTATTTTATCAGCGTTACTCCCTGGGCTCAATCAGATGGACAAGTGTCGTAAACCGGTATATTACTGATAAAAAAAGTCGTTAACCATTTCTACACTGGCTAATCTCGCATGCATGTTTGTTAGACTTAAATCTTCTTAAAACAGTGTTTATGTAACAATTCATATTTATTGAATGTTTTATGATGCATAGAAACTCGATTTACCAGCATGTTTCGAGATTTCGAGGTGTACAGAAAGACGAAATGAGTTTATCACTACATGGTATACCTTACATGTCCTGATTTCATTGTGTTATAGATAACCAATAGTGACGCGCCCTAACGCCTTATTTACTGAAGGAAATTGCTACGTCTCCGTTTTTGTAATCCTGAAACAGTAGAAAACATGCACATGGACAAGGGCCATGATTCGTCGAACTCACAAACATAATACGGAAGTTTCGTATACCAACAGCTTTACGCAGCATACTGACACTGTTTTATAGTCGTACTCGTAAATTGGTTTGATAATACGTATGCGTTCAGTTCATTAATAAATACAACAGGAAACAAATCTCCAATATGCTAATGTGCTCATATTCTGCAAATGAGGTTTTTTTATCCGCCTTGTTAAAATTAAACGGAATATTGCATATGATTGTTGGTCGAAAGTTCAAAATTGCTCAAAGTTAATTTCATCATTTGTAAATCTGGTTCATGGTTTCCCCAAATACAGTAATGTTGGGAACGTCGAATATATAAATGTAATACAGAATTCATGATGTCTTTCCTTTTTATATGACCTCGATTTCTGTTGTAAAAATTGTCTTTCTTTTTCATATCTCATCAGATCGTGATGTTGTCAATTTCTATAGAATGAGTTCAAATTGTGTTCTTTAGTGGTGGTCTCTCATATACATAAATTGATCTTATAAATGAATCGGTGTAGTGACATTTAAAAACATGGCTAGGCAATTTTAGCCCTAAAATCGATATTTGCGTGTCTCGTTACTTTTTATTGATAAGCATACTAGATTTTATAACCGAATTTATTATATTTTATTTTCCACGACAAGGTTAAAAGGAAATTATCCCTGATTAATGTATGCATTTCTTTTTTTTATCTAACTCTATTGATAGTGTAGCGTATGATTAGCTAAAGTGTTGTACTGCTTTTGTAAGTACAGGTACTCTTGAGTACTACATAACCATCAGACCACTATATATTATAGAATTAAAGCTAAATTAGATCAGATTTCATGCTGTTGAAAACGTTTTGACAAACCCTAAATTATACAACAGAAGTATAGCGATAATAACCTAAATGCATGTGGACACTAAATAATATTAACCTATTATTTTTTATAGTGAGGTACATGTACATGTATTTGTGGGAATATGAATCATTTGGTTTTAATTCTTTACTATAAAGAACTTCAAAAATGTTTTTCCTGTTAATCGAGAAAATACGCCGTTAAGACCAGCGCATTTAAAACACATCAATCTCATAAAGCTATCAATAAAACCGAAATTTTAAAAAAAAATCGCCAAAATCCATTTATCGTTCATTCATGCATAATTATAACCATGTTAAAAACACAACATATTCGGGATTATGTCCCTTTAAACACATAATTTGTATAATACATATTTTGAAAGAAGGAAAAATAGTCAACTGTTACAGCCGGTGACATTTTACTGACTTTCTTATAAGGACTTACCCATCTGTTTGTAAAGGTAAACTTTAGAATAAGTAAAGTAAACTGACCGTGACCCGGTCATTGTTGGGGCTCTACACAGGGTAAAGGGTTTTTAAATGTCTGTTTGTGGAGTATATCTGTATTGCCAATCAGGATACATATTCTAGTATGGTATACTAATACATTACCAGCTTATACACATTTCTTTTCTCAAAGTTTTGTTAGCTTGTCTAAACAATTTAATTCACTTTTATAATTTTGCCGAAATGAATAACTTGAGTATTTCCTTTAAGATTCGAACGTATTGTCCCGGCCTATTCGACATACGGTACACGATGTGTTTACGACATCGCGTTAACTACCTTTAAATGTTTTCAAATCTTAAGTTGTGTCTAACAGTGCTTTGCAAAAGTGATTCCATGTCTGAAATCCGATTAAAATTAATTCTCATTCAAGTTCAGGGATATATTAATAACATTACTACTTAGGCTTGAGGAATCGATCGCAGCCGACCAAGATTTAATAAGGAAATCTTAAAGAATGTATGTATACGATAAGTCTACTCGATATAAAGTATAATACGTGGTGCACAAACAGAATAAGAAGGTGTTTTAGGGACAACACAAAATGTCTAAAACCCTTAATCAAATGCCTAAATTTGAGGTTGTGAATGGAAAAGGATACTTCGCTATCATTGGAGTGTCGCCCCACCGACAGAGGAGTTTCGTGGGAATCCCTCCATTACAGCAGATAACAAGGTAACCGTACACACCTACTGTTGTTATGAACAAACGACCTAGTTCTGTAGGTATAAACTTTTTTTAAATGTACTAGATATGTACACTTACGTACTTTGTGAGATATGTAAGGTATTATAGGCCCATGTTACTGATCAAATAAGTAGGTTTGTATATTCTTGGACAATTAGTGTATTGGATGATTTATCAATGTATTTTATCAGTTACCATGGAAACCAGTTCAAATTTGAATTACACAGGTGTATTGTTGTTTCATCATCAAACAATGATGCTTGAAATGATCGTCAGGAAACATGCATGTGTCGGAACATTCAACTATGTTTATAGTTACAATTTGTATGTACTTATTGGAAGTGAGATAGTTGTGCCATAGGAGGCACGGCAGTATAGTGGTAGGAAGCCGGGCTCGTGCCCGAAGGGTTGCGGGTTCGAGTCACGGCACGGCACGGCACTGTGTTGTATCTTTGAGCAAGATACTTTACTCCGCTTGGTCCAGTCTACTAAGCTGTAAATGATTACGTGGTTGAGCAGTGCTAGAATTGTAGAATGCTAGCTGTGAGCGCCGAAATGGCAGCACCGGCTGTATGCTCCCCAGGGATATTAACCACGGATAATTATTTGTGAATCGCTTTGAGACGACCTACGAACTAGGTTGTGATAAAGCGGTTTTAAAAAACCTCGAATTATTATTATTATTTGAAAAAGGGAAGCGTACTGCCTCTCTGTCACTGGAGAAGTGGGAGTAGAACTATTCTCTATGTCCACCAAGACGCCGCAAAACAAACATGTCGTAGACATAGGAAGCAGCACTTATAGTTTTATCCCGCCACCCCTCGTGAAAATCCGACTAGAAAGGTGTATGCCANCCACAGTCCACACAAGAAGAGGTGCACTATTTCCCTGGTCCCCTGAAAATTTGCCCCCTCCACTTGTCACCAGGAAGAGTTGTTTCCCCTCCCTGTCCAAATTGCTTTCCTTGCCCCCACCACCACCACCACCACCACCACCACCGACTTCGGGACCATGTACAGATATCGCCAGGGGTACAGCAGGTCTCCTGCATGTTTTGAAAACTATCACGAGAATACAGCTATGTGACCACATCAAAAATTGAGGAAATGTGAATTGCATATTTCACATATCGTGCAAGAAATGTGACGCAATATACACAAGGCTACACTTCACATCTTGGCTACTGGAGGACATTGTGTCATTTTCATCAATCAAACAAATTGATTCATAAACAAAGCCTGGTATATTAAATGTTAGGTAATATATTATTTTTTCCATTTGTCGATCAAGGCAACATAGCCCTTAACTGTATCTGGACTTTGGGAAATGATGACGTTGTAAATCAGAGAACGTTGGTGATAACCTGGACAATCTCTGCAATGTTCGTACATGTGAATGATAACCTGGACAATCACTGCAATGTTCGTACGTGTGAAAGACAATGATGTTATGAATCTAACAACATGTCCCAACTATTCATGATTATTTATTTTATGTTTTTTTCCCAGGACTAAGCCAGCATCACGGGGCCAGGGTTCAAGTCTGTACTACGAGGAACCAAAGAAGCCCACCAAGGTGATAGGATGGGACGTGGCAAACAATGCTCGACCCCCTCTGAGGGTGGACATGGAGGGTCCAGGGCCGTGCTCCTACTCTCCCTGCAACAAACCCCTTGGGGAGACCAACGCTCCCTCTTGGACATTTAGGGCAAAATGTGCTCCTGAAAAAGGTAATTATGTTTATATATATAACACTACCTACAACTCTTACATAATACATTATGGACTGAGTTTAATGTTGTTGAAAATAAGACGATTTTTTTTAAATTTATGTGTGACATTAACCACAATAATTATATACTACGTTCAATTAATGTCTTCAGCCTGAAATTACACCAGAATACTAGTTTCAAATACACTATTACGTTCCGATATTCTTTACTGCCAACGGATATCTTTTTGAATTGACAAGAGACCACGTGACCTATATGACTATATATTACAGCGGGAGGGGCCCGGACATCATGGGAGAAGCCATGGTTCCAGAGTCCTCATATCTGGCAGACGAAGACCGACTTCTTCAACGACACCAGTGTAAGTCAGACACCACAAGCACCTCACATGTGTAGTTTTTCAGTTGCAACTATGTACTGATTGAAAAAATATTTATTTTGATAGCATGTCCTTACAAAGACAATATTTCTTAGATTAAAATGTCATAGCTGCCAGCTACACCATATTTGCTGATCATATTAGCTACAGCTACATCATATTAAAATGAAACCTCAGTCCATCCCACATCATTCTATTAGATACGGACAATATGAACGAAATACTTCTGTTCTAACCTCATTATGGTAAGAGCAACAGAATGAGACAAATGTGAAAAATAAATCCATTGAAAACAACTTAAATTACGTACATATCTTTCATTTAAATCTCACGCATATTTTGTCGCCTTTTTTCCAAACGCTATGTTTGTATGTGTCCGTCCGTGCCGTGCTTTGGAAAATGAGTTATGAATCTCAAAACTCAGATGGCTATTTTGACCAAAACCGCACCAATCTTAGAATACAAAAACAAAAGGGAAATTGTAATTAGAAATTGTCATAAAATATAACAGGCTTTGTATTACCATTGATTACACAAATATTGAGTTGGGTTTAAACACTAAATAGTTTTCATGTATATGACTGAATACCGATTTTTTAAGAGTGCGAAGAACTTATGAACCTATCTGTTTATTCTCCCTTACAAGTGAAACATACATGATACGCAAGGAGAAACTATCAAATTGTCTATTTGTTACAATTTATAAGAGCAAAGTCTAAAATACTTCCAACTCAAGTTGTGTTACCAATACCATATCCTGTATGAGTTCACCTCAGTGACGATATCAGTTTTTAACAAGTTGATATTTTTAAGATTTATCTGCGAAAAGGTAATACATACCTTATCGAATATATATATAACTTCCAGTGGCCAACTCCTAACCTGTACAAACAGAAGTCCTTGTTAGGGCCACGCCAGAGAACCATGACAGAGGCGCCATCCTTCACCATTGGTGTCAGGAAGGAGGTTTCCATGAATAAAGCCGGTAAGTGATACTTTCCTGGAATAAGCTCAGCTGCAGTGTAAACAATTCATATATACATTACATTGCTGCCGGATACCGAATAGAATAGCTAATGCAATAGGCTGTGGTAGGAGTAAGGTTAAACAGGAAAAAATATCTACAAAAATATCAACACATATTTAAACATTTATGATATAAATGTCGAAATGAAAAAAACTCTGTTCGTTATATGAATCAATGATTTATCATATAGCTAACACACTTTTAAAGTTACAAACGTATGCCTTACAAAACAATGTCTCGCCTATTTTGTAGGATCCTCTAAGGAGCCGAGTCCTAACGAGTACGAGAAGGATACAGCCGACAAACTGGTCCACCAGCGGGGACCATCCTATAGCCACCAGTTCCGACGCTCAGGCACCGTACTCTGGCCCTCCATAGGTAACTACAAGAATATCCTGAGAATACGACTTCATTAAAATTCGTCGACCAGTGGAAAAATTCGATTGTTTCATATTTATCCGTAGTGAACATGATCTTTGTAAAATTGAAGTATCTCGTACCACACGTCGGGCTTATTAATTTCGAATTCTGATGTGTGATATAGCTCGTTGGTTAACATACGGTTGATATTGTTCTTGATATTATTTTAAAATTTTGTTTATCTGCAGAAAAGACACCCGGTCCTGCGGCCTACACCCCAGTCTACGCCCAAAACAAGACCTCCGGACCGGCCTTTACTATAAGAAGTATTCGACGGGACGCATCCCACTCGCTTGGTCCAAATTCGGCATTTTAACTGATCAACATTATACAGTCATAAATATAAAGTGTGAAATTCTCAACGTTATTATACTCGGAAGTTCCTCACCGGGGTTGTTACACGACTGTTAGATCAAAAGGACACTTTCATTTAAACATGAGAATTGAAAATCGTGTGCTGAAAAGCTCTGGATGGAATAGAACCTGTTACGCATGCGATTAGTTATCAAAACACCAACATGTATAATAAGGGAGAGCATTATTCAAGGAAATATCGACAAAGATTCAGTAAACGACAGAAACGACAAGCAATATGATATAACAATGTGTGGAATCTTTAAAGTATCGTTGTTTGTATAGATGTGGAGGTATTCTTGTTTTGTTTTTGTTTTTTAATCCATTTATCTATTGTGTACAAAAGCTGTTATACAGTGGAAATGTAGAAGTGCTAATAATGGATGACCTATCAGTATTCAAGTAGAAAAATGTGTTTATGGGGTTGGACGTTTAACATGGTTTTAAAGTTATTACCGTTAAAGAAACATTCAATCGTTAACGTGTTAGATACTCTTGAAAGCAAAAATGATTTTGATGTTCTTTGTACATTTCTGAACGATAGTGAAAATGTGCAATGCATATGCGATAGTGATACTTTATGATTTAACTTGCGAACAACATAAATTTAAACACTATATGTACTTTCGTAGTTTTTGGACAATGTAGGAAAATAGTTTACTATATATACTGTCTTAATCTGAGGCAACGTAGGTTATCATAACACTTTATCATTATAATATCTTAGTCCGATAACCATAAAGGAAAATTATGCTTTATTTACTCTCTTAGTCTTTCGACAATGTAGGAAAATATTTTACTATATATACTGTCTTAATCTGAAGCAGCGTATGTTATCATAACGCTTTATCATTATAATATCTTAGTCCGATAACCATAAAGGAAAATTATGCTTTATGTACTCTCTTAGTCTTTGGAAAATATGTATACTATATAAACTGTCTTAGTCTGATGACAATATAGGAAAATAATGCTACATATACTGTCTTAGTCGAATGACAACATAGGTTATAAAAATACTACAATAATATATGAAAACAGCCCTCATATGTATAACGTGTAATAGATAATTACCTGTTTAAGTACGTCCTATATATATACGATAATCACAGTAACGCCAATATAACTATCTATAGACAACCAGATTTCACTCTGTAAATACTGTCGCCAGAAATTATAGTATATCAAGCACTGCCATGACGTAATATATACTCCCCAAATCTTTCATACCAAACTATTTAACTAAAGTAACACTAAACAACCTTGTATAATATGGTTTTTAATTTTAATTTTCCAACACTTATCATAAAACGGTCGTGTATGTAATTTTGTTACAGTTGTATGACTACAATTGCGTTTCAAATGACACCTTCCATGATCACATCTATATTTACATACTCTCACCTATGGACTCCCATGGTAAGTCAGTTAGAATAAGATACATATGCAGCCTGGCACTAGTACAAGTAAATACAATATATCTGTCGTGCTGTACTGGTAAGTATCCCCTGTCAAGGATCATGCCAAGTGGCTGACCCCATTTTGGCACAGTTATCAGAATATCTGGAATTGAAGTCCTTCGTTGAGATAAAAGTTCAAATAAGACTGCTGAAAACCCTTTTAGAGTTGGCGTATAAAACATGCTAAAATGTGATCAATTTGTATTCCCACCAAACCCGTGCGTATCAATTATCTACATGTATAAAATCAGGTTTGTTAAAGATTAAACAGAACAGTATTTCAACATCGTAGTTTAAAATAAATAAAATAGCATTAAAATGTTCAATTAATCCGCGCCTATCATTTAATGAAGTAACTTACTGCTATAGTGGATTTATTTTATTTATAATGACATATTTTCAATTTGCGGTCATGATCTTTTTGCCATCTTCTAAAGTGTGTCTATCAGATTACATTATTTATCTATGGTTATTTGTGTCTGTTGTATCAATCTTTTGTCAACTTTTATTTGCAGTATGTTTTTTGTTTCGAGTGAAAGTATCTTTCTTTTTTATTTCAATTAAAACTCAAACCTTCACAATAGTTTTCATGCTTAATGTTACCTATTAACTTAACTGTTTTATTAGATCTGAAAGTCTTGTTTTGAACCATTTATCGATATATTTGAAATGAAACATATTCTGACACCAATAAGTATAGATCAGCGTGTTGGCACCATTATGATGAAATTCTCACCCATGAATTTAATACTTTTTTACAATGACATACAACTGATTCTGATATAGTTAGAGCAGTGTTCGATTATTTTCAAGATTGACAAGAATGTTAAATAAATACGAAAACATGCACAAAAGACTAGTTTTAGATAATTTTAATATGATTTACGCATGTATGTTCAAACCTATTATAAAGGAACTAAAAAGTTTGCTGGATCTTAATTTTCCTCTGAGAATTTATTCATGAACTAATTTGTTGTTGGTCTTTGGATATTATCGCTATATTAGTTGAATATCTAAAAGAAACATCAGCTATCTGTCAGCTGGTATGTACATCATTAAATACCATACAGCTGGTATGTACATCATTAAATACCATACAGCTGGTATGTACATCATTAAATGTCATACAGCTGGTATGTACATCATTAAATGTCATACAGAATGAGTCACTCTTCTTTGTGTGTACTCTAGATAATTGTACAATGTTTAATGCATAAACATTTTATTATTGTTTTCCAATCAAAGTGAGTGTTTGTTGATATCGTTATAATTATAAATGTATATTTATTTTTTATAAAATACTAATCGACTAAGTTTTATAAATCCTGCTACCATATTCTTTCAAAACTATGTACAGTTATATATGTTTGTATATGAAGTATATTTTATTGTTTTGTTTTATTGAAATGAGATTTCTTTCTATTGTATCATAAATGTGTTTATCGATGTGTGTAGTACGTGACACGAATAGAAAATAAACTTATTTGTATACGGCGTGTCCAAATAAAGTCTGTGATATGAAAAGTATTAATTTGTTCTCTTTTGAATTATTTGCGGTAAATAAAATCTATCAAACTATCAATTCTGTGTAGGTTATTTGCCCTATTACCATTTATCCTACTGTTGCCACAAACATTTCGCTCCAGGAAACATGATTTGATTTAAACATATTTTATTGCAAATAAATATTTTCAAAAGAATTGGAAACATGAAGAAGTGAGGCAGCATTAATGCAACTTTATTTAAGTACGACGACAGGCGTTGATTCGCCAAGAAAGATAAAGGTTATCGGAATGAATCTCCTATATCATAGACCTGTATTACATGTTATATAGCTGAAGTTTGATTGCATAGTTCTGCCAGATGACAGATGTGACATCGATTTGCCAATTATTTATGCAAAACAAAACTTGTTTTCCAAGAAATAATCTCTTGATGTACTAAAAGCTTATAATAAGTAGGTTTCCGCACGATTTAGCCTCATTTTAGGTTTTGTAAACCAGCAATATATGTGGCTAGTCGATATCCCACACGGTCATTAACACAACAAACAGCACAGTTACCTACTTACCAGACTAATATCTCGACAAAATTATTTCGGAAAATGCAGTCAATATCTAAGATATATATACATATAGTTATGCTGAGGTAAACTGAGAATATGTTGACATCTTCTCAGATTATGTCGACACATTTCAGAAATTATACCGACATAGGTAACTCGAAAGTCGATGTCAGTAAAATACCACCATACTTTACATAACACTCGTATTACTCTTATTAAACATCATAGCATTATACATCACCTGTACTACAGTCAGTGTACCCAAAACAAACGGGACAATGTTTAGTTAATCATCAATGTATTTTATACCATAGTATCAATTCCAAAAAGTTTTTGTTCATATTCATAATTTGATACCAACCACTTTTTATTTCCTTAAAAAGTGTATATTTCCGACACGTGGGTCTATAAAAAGAAAGCAGAGAGATATAACTGTATCCAGAAAGGAACACTTCGGTATTTTGGCTAATACTGGGGTGTAACCGATCAATATCAAACATAGATCAAATGTTGGGGAGTCAAAGGAGGTTCTGATTAAAAAAATAGATTTCTGAAAATCATATCGAAATTAATATCGTCGCACAGCACGTAAATTAAGAAAGTTTTGTTTTCGTAATGTTACCATAATAATCAACCACTATAGAGCTGATAAACTGATTAATTGACATGAAAGTATTATAGGTGAAAATTGCATACAAACAAATACTTCTTTGTATTTCTTGGACCGTTTCTCCACATTGTCCCGTTTTTCCTGACATTCGTGTTATATATAGCAGTACCTACACTATACATAAAAGCTGCATGGTATTCTATGTCGACTCATTATATTATGGTAAGCTGTTCAAAAACTACTGCATATCGTATTCGATTTTTGAGATTGATGATGATGAACAGCTCCATATGATTTGAAATAACAAATATATCAGTTCATCATTTAATCTAAATATCTTCGGTGATATCTTCGAGTCTATATAACCATGGACTTCTCCCTGACCAAGTACCACACGAACTGCTCCCAAACACTAAAATAATAACAGCCCCTCGCACAATAGGCTTACAATGACTCAGGCGATTGCGACCGGAATTATAAGGCGGTAGTTGTTTGTAAACACAATCATGATCAGCTGATAAAGTATCGTAACGAGCATATCATCACATCTTGATCACTTGACCTGAGATAAACACCAGATCGACCGTTAGCCATTACAACATCGTGTGGTGTGAAGGAGCATGAGTGACGAGATAAAGGCTAGGTTCCCAGGGGAAGTGGATGAAGTTCATCCTGCCCCCTTCATCACAATCCCTCCACAACCGACAGAGAAAAAACCCGGACAGCTGACTGAAGCCCAGGTTACACAGTTCTTCCAGGAGGTAAACTTACTACGCCTGTAAATAGTTTGCTCGTGTACATATATACACGCTCGTGTTTATGGGTAATCTTTATACTTACATCTTGAACAATTTTTATTGTTATTGTTAACGGACTGTCATATAGCAGTTCCAGTACACTCTGCCGATTAATGAGCTATATAGTTATAAAGACCTATATAGCTATATACTCACCTATACATTATAGCTGTATTGAGCTATATTTTCTCAGATTTCAATTTTCATTAAATTAAGGCAAAGCCGCATAAAACAATAAGGTAATGTTGACTAAAAAAAGCATACATTTAGATGTTTATTTTCATTTTTCATAAATGTTAAATTTTCTTTATTTTTTACATCGTTATATTTGAAAAAGAACACTTATGTTTAATGTCTTTTGTTATCAACCTAATAATAAAATCTTCTTTTAAAAGCGACTTTGTTTCGTTTTCCTTAAAACAGAAAATCACATGAAAATAGCTCAAAAGACCTATTTCAGATAGGTCAATAGAACTATTATAGGTCTTTACAGCTATATAGATCAATCGGCAGAGTGTACTGGACCTGTATAGAGTCCTATGCGTTGGCACGTTGCATCAGGTTTTACTCATGATCAGTGCCCAAGTCCATCAGCTGTGTACGTGCACATGCATAATGCTATTTATATGTTATACAGGGATAGTTTTTATATGCATTAATACATGTTCTGTAAACAATATAAACACTTTATGATTTTACGTTAATTGTCGTGTCTAGCATTTTCTTTAAAATAGAAATAAAATTGTTGAATATTAGTTTTAAGCTGATGAGGATATAGAACGCAGGTGTCTCGTTTCGAGAAATAGATAAATGTTAATGATATTGTATCGTATAACAAATAGCTCCGGTGTATGTTGACGAATCTGCATTTATTATCACGCAGATCGATGCTTCCCATACCAAACTTGACACTAGTCTTCGTGTATATTGTACAAGTCGCATGCTATTTTATCTAGAATACCACTCCATTCACATTCTATGATCTTGTCTACCGTATCATATACACACAACTAGTCTGTATACTATATCAATTACACATCATATTTTCTTGTACACTGTATACCAGACACCCATAATATATCTAGGTATATATATATATTAGAGGTAATATGTGTGTTTATCTTACCGATAAAGGAAATGAGAACGTTTAAAGACACTCTCATCAATCTTTATTTTTCCCCGATATGGAGATAAATTGTACATAAACATATAATGTAAACATTGAAACACATGATTGATATATATACACATTTACAATAACAGTAGACATTGAAACACATGATTTATATATATACTCTTTTACAATAACAGTAGACATTGAAACACATGATTGATATATTTACACATTTACAATAACAGTAGACATTGAAACACATGATTGATATATTTACACATTTACAATAACAGTAGACATTGAAACACATGATTGATATATTTACACATTTACAATAACAGTAGACATTGAAACACATGATTGATATATTTACACATTTACAATAACAGTAGACATTGAAACAAATGATTTATATATATACACATTTACAATAACAGTAGACATTGAAACACACGATATATATATATACACACATTTTCAATAACAGTAGACACTGAGGAAAACACTTTCCTTGGTTCTGTTCAGTGAATATAAATCTCAGGTGAACATTCACACACATTCTCTCCCTCCCACATGCACACACGCACGCACGCACGTACACACGTATCCTCTCACACGCACAAATACACACAGACGCACACACACACACATGAGCACCACACACTTCCTCACATACGCACGCACTCAACCTCACACACTTAAGCACACACACCTCACAAACGCACGCACACATCCTCACACACTCACGAACGCACCCTTCCTCACACACGCACGCACTCACATTCACACACTTAAGCACACACACCTCACAAACGCACGCACACATTCTCTCACACACACACGAACGCACCCTTCCTCACACACGCACGCACATATCACTGTTATGCGCTACCACCAATATTCAGCTAGTATTTTAGCCGATACTCAGTTACTATTATAACACATACTAATTGATCAATAATTAGTGATAGGATAATAGCATAATAGGCTTTTTCAGACCATACGATTTCGAATGATCATCATATGTCATCACAGTTCAATATATGTTATATTAATTTATATATTATTGGTAAGAAAACACAATTGTGGTTCAGCAAATAGATGAGTAGCAGTGCCTGCTCAGTTATTGCTTTACTAGATTTGCATAGCTTCCCTGATGAAGGCTGCACACTTAAGTCTGAAATCGTCTCTGGTGGGGTGGTCTGGCAAGTCTGGGACTAGGGACTCTGCACCAAACAGTGCACACAAGAAGTCCTCGTCTTCCTTGTCATTTAGATAACAATAAACCTGTGATCCATACTCAAGTAAAGCATCAGTCAAAAAGCGGCTTTTCATTGGCCTGGTTGATTGACACGACACACATATATGGCGGGTCGTGTCTTGGACGTCTATCTGACAACAGGTACACCGTCGGATTTGATGTGAATTAACACAGGTCAAAACATTACACAGGAAGTACACTTGTCTAATATGCTTCGTACATGTGCAAGCAGCCCACAGAACATAGGGATGGTACGTCGAATGAATTCGTCTAAATCTAATAAAGTCATCATCGTTCGATAGCCTCGTTCTTAAGGCAATATTTTCAAAACGTTTCCAATCCCCTTTTCCCGGGGATTACAACTCTCGTTGGTACTTATCGACATATGATCTTAGGTTGTATTTGTGAAGAGTATTGCAACTATACTAACGGGATGAAACGACGTTGTTGTGTTGTATTTCCGTCTTCCTCGTCAATAAAGTAGCTATATAGACGGACTTAGAACATTCTTTTTACAATGTATCTACAATCTAGGTGGATCAGTTTGATCTTTTACAACAATAAATTGAAAAATATGATAAAAATACATATATATTTACGCATGGTTGTATGGTCTTTCCGCCATTATTGCACGAGGCTACGTCATGACGCCCACCATAGTATTTAATTTACCACAATCATATGTTCACCGGTGATCAGCATGCCTTTATAAATTACCTTAACTGTTGATAGAAAGCTAAATTAAATAAAACCAAACCAATGATCAAACGTGTGTCCTTGTTATACAAAAGTATTATCACGGGTTAACTGGCAACACGTGCGATACTTTTGTACCTGGATCACAGTGAACTGGCCACGCGTGTGATAATTTAGTACCTGGATCACAATGAACTGACTATAAGTGTGGTCAACAATGGTTAGACATATTTTCGTACACTATCACTGGTTTACGTTCATTTACTATATAAAAGTGTGCTAATGTTTTTCGTAAAACGAGCACCCAATCTGATTAAAATCATATGTTACATGGCTTCGTTAACTTCGTACTACGCCTGAACATCTGAGTGTGCCTCGGTCAGGGTCACGTTCAGGTGACCTTTTTATTTATAAATACTCATTAAATTTTGACCAATCAGAGACCCTCTTTCAAAAGGGCGCTCGGAGTTGTAACAAATATGGCGGACATTGATGAGAATGATGCGAAAGTTCTGAAGTTATTTGAGATTGATCGTCTGAAACCTGAACAGAAACAGATATTCGAAGCTTTATTAGAGAAGAAAGACTGCATGGCAATCATTACCCAATGGGTATGTTTTCCTTGGCGTCGTAGAAACGTCAGTTCCCGCCGCCATATTTGTTTTGGAAAACTAATCTGTTCGAAACCCCTCGCTATTTATCTATCAAACATGATATTCCGATTCGCTGACAAACTTTTGCCAGCGCGCCTCTGATTGGTTCATCTAAAGGTCACTTGAACATGACCCTGAACGCGGCACAAACAGATGATTTTAATCAGATTGAACGAGCGCCCCTCGTTATAACATTAATACTGCAAAAGAAGATTAGTACATATGGCGACTGTTATAAGTTTCTCTTCATGACATATCTCTTCGAACAGCTATTTTCTTTGTTTACAAGATATTTACATATTAAGTATAAAATATTTGAAATAGAATGTATCGGTTCTATGACACTTTGCATGGATTCAAAAACAAAAATATGTAAAATCGACAAACAGTTAAAATGAATATAGGAAAATGTATTGGTAGCGATGAATATAGGAAACTGTATTGATAGCGACGAATATAGCAAACTGTATTGGTAGCGACGAATATAGGAAACTGAATTGGTAGCGATGAATATAGGAAACTGTATTGGTAGCGACGAATATAGCAAACTGTATTGGTAGCGACGAATATAGGAAACTGTATTGGTAGCGACGAATATAGGAAACTGCATTGGTAGCGACGAAAATAGCAAACTGTATTGGTAGCGACGAATATAGAAAACTGTATTGGTAGCGACGAAATTGGGAAACTGTATTGGTAGCGACGAATATAGGAAACTGCATTGGTAGCGACGAATATAGCAAACTGTATTGGTAGCGACAGTAGTTGGACTACTGACCATCAAAGGCTTTGTTTACGCGGTATGTAAATAAGATGCTGATCCTGTTCCAGGGATATGTGGCTGTCAATGACTTTTTCGACACGAAGACGGAACTGGACCCGTGTCGCGATGCTATTTCTGTCATGGTGGACCAGCTAGCCGACAAACTTTATGACGCCGGCAAAATCGAAGGTAGCCGTTTATCCTTCAACTGGATTTTAAAACAGCGAGCACTTTGCATCAATTAACAAAACGTTTGATATTAAAAAAGCTCCATGCATTTATGTTTATGCTTAGGTGATAAGTTTAGGTCATACATTAATTTGTTTCTACTGCACTAAATATGTCGAGCGATACGAGTATATTACCATCCAGCGCTGGAGTACCTGGAAGTAGAGAAAATATATATGTGTCTTTAAGATGTCAGTGTTAACTTAAGCATTAATTATACGTATGCACTAGTAATTCCATAATTATAATTTTAATTTGAAAGACAATTGGAAAATGTTTAACTTCTTTATAAGACCAATCACAAATGAGCATTTACAAAAAAAGCCAGCGCTGTTTTGGAGGTTATGATATCTAAACGCGTTATTCCTATGGTCATTTATACAAATATAGTTTTATTTTATTTTTTTCTTATTTTTTTTGCAGATAAATATGAAGATTACGGCTTGTTCCAGAGACTGACTCAACTAGAAAAAGAACATGCAGGATCCAACATTCTTTTGTTCAAGTCACAGAAAATGCCAAAGGTATGTGAGCTTACATCAACAGCCCTCCCAGATATACACAGAAAACAATACTTCCAACCTAACAATATTGTCAACATATCAACAGACATTTTCTGACATATATTGAAGACAATATTGTAAATTTCATCCAACAATTACAAAACTGTCCTTGACCGACAGGCCTCCTATATATAATATTATGTATAAGACAAAAATGTAAACAACAAATTACGACACGTCCTTTATCGACAGGCGTCACTAACAACCAATAACAACACTTCCTTTATCGACAGGCCTAACTAACAACCAATAACAAGACGTCCTTTATCGACAGGCCTTACTTACAACCAATTACAACACGTCCTTATTGACAGGCCTTACCTTCCTAACAACCAATTACAACACGTTCTTTATCGACAGGCCTTACTAACAACCAATTACAACACGTCCTTTATTGACAGGCATTACTAGCAACCAATAACAACACGTCCTTTATTGACAGGCCTTATTAACAACCAATAACAACACGTCCTTATTGACAGGCCTCCCTTACAACTAATTACAACAAGTCTTTATTGACAGACCTCACTAACAACCAATAACAACACGTCCTTTATTGACAGGCCTTACTAACAACCAATAACAAGACGTCCTTTATCGACAGGCCTTACTAACAACCAATTACAACATGTCCTTTATCGACAGGCCTTACTAACAACCAATTACAACACTCCTTTATTGACAGGCCTTATTAACAACCAATTACAACACGTCCTTTATCAACAGTCCTTACTAACTACCAATTACAACACTCCTTTATTGACAGGCCTTACTAACAACCAATTACAACACGTTCTTTATCGACAGGCCTTACTAACAACCAACTACAACACGTCCTTTATTGACCGGCCTTATTAACTACCAATTACAACACGTCCTTTATTGACAGGCCTTCTGTGATGTGTGGAGTAACGATAGAATGCTAAACGTGATGGAACAGTTGTTAGGGCCAGATATCGCTGGACATCCAGTTTGGAACCTCAGGACAAAAACTCCTAAGAGTGACGCTGTCAGCATTCCGTGGCATCAAGGTATGCTAGACTGTCTATGTGGAAGACACCCTTCATGTTTCTTATATTGTAATTTCATTTTGTGTAGATTTTAAATCCTTATTTTTCAGACAGTGCCTATTTCAGTAATGAGTCGTACGACCACATGATAGTTACCGCCTGGGTGCCTTTCCTGGATGCCATACCTGGAAACGGATGCATGCAGGTAGATAATGACGTTTATCCTTCTATGTCACGTCAAAAACGCCCCTGAGTAATGTCATTTATACATAACACTTTATATGATTTAGATAACACATATTGATTTTAATTTTAATACCAGTTTCCTGTAAAGACAGATATTCGTTTAAAATTAAAAGTAAAATGGCTTCATGTTGTATAATTTAAGACGTTTTATGAATGGTATTTGTCTTGTGTAAAGCACGCTTTGCCTAAATATATTGAATGGAAAATAACAATCAAAACGTGTTTTTTTAACTGTCAAGGTTGTGAAGAACGGACACAGGAAGGGTAAGGTCGCAAACCACACGTGCTGCCGTGGTCCCACGTGGTATGTCATGCTGGAGGAGGAGGAAATGGAAAAGTCTTTAGGTGAGTCAAACTGTCGTAGAAAGAAATAGAAAAGTCTTTCGGCGAATCAAACTGCCGGAGGAAGAAAAGAAACAAACGTTAGCTGACTTAAACCGATAAGGGCACTTATGATGAACGGTTATTAAAGAGGAAATGGTTATATGATCTAGTAAGATGTATTATATTAGCAATTTTACATGCATGGAATCAGACAGGATAAAATATGATACATAAACTATGTATAATTCACATGGTTGATGTTTTGACAAATAACTATCGTTTAGTCAATCTGTACACGATACGGCTTGTTCGTAACACAGATGTCGACATGAAGAAAGACCTGGAGACATGTCCTATAGATTATGGAGGATTCCTGCTGTTCCACAACCTTACACCCCACAGAAGGTATATCATGTCTAGACAACGTGTAAACAAACGTTAGTTTATAAAGGGTTAAGTTCTGAAAATATCACCCATTGTAACAGCTATTTTATCATGTTTATTAAAATCTACGATATTACACATTGCTAAACAAATGGCAAAGACATTATAATGCTAATGTTTATATCCTGGTATTGGCCAATGCTAGTTTTACACCTGTTTATTGTCTATAAACTGTTCATTTTTTATATTATGTATTTATCGTTTTACAGACATGTCTCGTGATAAATGTCTTGGAGCAGTGGATGTTCATAACTTATCCATTCATCACTTTCATCCCTTTAAGTTTTGTTTGATGTTCGTTAACGTTGTTTTGTTACGTTTACCTTGGCTACGCATACCGTTCATTCTGCTATATATAGTTGTTTGTAAGGTGAGGTTATAAGTTCATGGACATGGACAGTTGTTAACATAGACGTACATAAGTGTTTCTGACGGAAATGTCACGTTTGACAATAACTTGACGACCAGGATAGGACATGTGACAAAGTAATAAACATACAAAGATTTATTGTAAGGTTAGATATACATATCATTATCAACAATCTTGTAATCTCAAGCACATGTTTCATCACTCTCGAAACATAACTATTTGAGTAAACTTCTAAGAAAGAGGTTCATTACATCAAATGACCCTGTATATTTTAATTAGAGATTGTCAGCATTTAATAACTATCATAAGTCGCATCTTGAGTCTCGCGTTTCATATCTATTTTTTTCAAAAAACATACAAGTCACAAATAAGTTTGTATATATGAATTGACTGTACATGTCAAAGCAAAATAAATCCTGAGATCTATCATTTGAAAATATACCCGTACTAAAAACCATACCATGTTGATATAGTAAGCTCACTGTTAGTCAGCATGGGATTCTGCAGCATATCAACACATAAAGCATTGTTTTCTTTTTGCTTTCTATATAGCACTGTTCATATATCACACAGCAACTGTGTAGACATATCAGCATGAAAAGCATGATAATAATACCTTCATCTAGAACTCATCCTCAACCATCATCATCACCATCATCATCATCATATCATCATCAATGAAAGTAGATAGCCTACAAGTTGCCGTGTTAATACATTTTTTCAACTTCTTTCGTACGGAAGCTTGGAGAATATGTCAAACGACATCCGGTGGAGTTGTGACTTTCGGTGGCAGTCCCCCAGTGAACATTGGGGATTCTATGGCCTGGGAGAAGGGGTCCCAATGAGATCCGCCAAAGACCCAAGTATGAAGGCAGACTTTGAGAAGTTTTTCTCATTTGACAGAAAAGAACAATGGCAGAAACGATACTACAGACAGGTAATTATCTATTGTATCTATTTTAAGTTGCTTTACATTTATATAGCTTTTGATTGTCTATTACGCTAGGATAAGCATACACCTTCTATACAAGATATTGCTTTCTTCAGTGTCACCATAATTGGTTGAATGGACATTTGATTAAACGGAACATCTTATATCTAACTACAAAATAGAGTAATGCTGATCGTACAGTAAATTGTTTTATCTAATACTATAGGAGGACGCCAACGATCCTTTCGATACCACCATCACTGGACCCTGGATAGGACGCTGGGAAATTGTCAACCACAACAAACACACAGAGGCATTCAAACCCTTCATGTAAACCCGCCTAAAACAATATCCTCTAATCAGAAGCTATACTCGGAAGGCAGGATATTATTATCTTTATCTTATGTTCTATTAGTCGGAAAATATAAGCTAGGTTTTGTGTTACTAAAATACAGAATTTAAAATACTTCGCTTTCAGTCCGGAAAGTGACATTTGTGTACTAGCGAGTAACCTTTTTAGATACCAAAGCATGTTGTTTTCAGTAAGTGCTATCCATTTAATGCTAATATTCATTACTCATATCATTTCAGTTATCTAATCACAGACCTATGATATAGTTTCTTATATTGAAAGTAAGAAAGTGAGTAGGAAACATAATTTGCATTCAGATATGGATTGAACGGTATAGTTTCAATTGTCAAACCGGATAAAAGACAAGTCAGTATTCAAAATGTTAAGGTGTTTTCAGGTGCAAATTGTTGGGTGGTTTTTTTTCAGTTCGTTGATTCTATAGAGAAGCTACTTTTAGAATGTAAATTACACTCAGATGTTAAAATCTTCAACTATCAGATAACTTATAAATGTAGTTCGTTCTACGTTATGATGTGATGATCATTTGCCAGTTCAGCATAGAGCATTGATTAATAAGTGCGTAAGTAGAATTGTATTTTTTTTCACCACTTAAACGTTTATAGACTCTGCTACTTGATGAGTCTATCATGTAACTATTACGTACCTGATCAATGTAAGTATGTCTGGGCTACCAGTTAACATATAAATGTAATTTGTTATGCGCTATGTTGTTATGATTGTTTGCCGTATCAGCATTAGAACATTGTTAATATGTTCGTTACCAAAACTGTTTATTTGTTTTTCATCACTTAACAGTTTTGTATGCAGAGAATCTGCTTTTTGATGAATCTGTTATTTAATTATGACATATCTGATATAACACAAGGCCCGGTCCCACTTGCAATAACTCTTCTTCAGCGATTGATGTTAACATTGTTATATTCATGTGATTCAAAGCATGTCATAAATATCTAGTGAATAAAACGGAATCCAAATTTCTTATTTTATTTCAAATGAATTAAAATGTTTATATCAGACGGTTATAGCAATTTAAGATATTTCAAAATGCTTACAATAGCATCTGTCCGAAGGATGGCATTGAACTAATATTGATTTATTAATTCTTACCTTTTCTCAGTTAGATTGACCTAAACAAAAGCGTTTGCTTGTTAAGATCCGAGCTAGTGTGTTCAGTTTCATTAATATTCAAAGTACCATGCCATTTGTCTTAAGTAACTCCATTTGTCACTTTTTCTTTTTGAATTATTATGATTTATCCTAGATAAAAATAAAATTTACAAAACGGGGAAAAATTGTCCTTGTGTCTTTATTTAACTTTCAAGACACTATAGAAATTAAGGTTAGATTGCACAGAAATTGCTGATAACAAGATAAATATACACATTGAATTTTCATTACATTTCATAACAGTAAACCTACGTTAGAAAGTTAACTAAGTTGAATTTGCAGTAAGTTACAAGATGTGGCTTGGAAACAATGCTATCAGCCTTCAAATAAATATATAGCGGACGTAATAAAATATCAGTATTGTGCGTACTTTGGTCTTTGATGAGAACAGATAGCTAATGATCATTACTCAATTTTGTTGTTAAGATTTAAGATTTTTAAAAGAATCTATTTTGGATCACCAGTGGTTAAGAACAAAATATCTTAATCAGATTATTAAAAGACAATAACTCCAATAAAGACAGCATGACCCCTCACGAAACCCCAGGGAGCAAACATCTAGATTTCAAACTGGTTAATTTCAAACATATACAAATGTATGTTAGTTTCTAACAATATGAGAAATCTTCAAACAACTTCTCAATAACCAAAAGGCCCAGGGTACTTATATTGGGTCTGTAGCATGCTGGGTTGAAGGGTTACAAAGTTTGTCAAAATGAATGACATTGACCAACTTTCAAGGTCACAGGGGTCAAATATGTTAAAATCTTTAACGACTTCTTCTCAATAACCAAAAGGCCCAGCGTACTGATAGTTGCATGCTGGGATGAAGGACTACCAAGTTTGTTCAAATGAATGACTTGACTTATATTTAAGGTCACAGGGTTCAAATATGTTAAAAACCTTTAAACGACTTCTTAATAAGCAAAAGGCCAAAGGAGATGATATTTGGCCATTAACATGCTTGGATGAAGGACTACCAAGTGAATTACCTTCGCCCATATTCAAGGTCAAAGTGGTCAATATATGTTTAAATCATTAAATGATTTGATCTGTATAACCAAAAGGTCCAGGGTAATGATATTTTGCCAGAAGTAACCTGGGTTGAAAGACTATAAACTCTGTTCAATCTAATGTCCTTGTTCGACATTTAAGTTCACAGGCGTCAGATGTTTAAATCTTGAATCAAACATGAAAATATGAATGATATTCTGTCTGTAGCTGTATTTTAGTCCACTTTTAAGATTACAAGTGTGAGATTTATACCAGGTGAGCGATGCAGGCCCATTCGGCCTCTTGTTCTTCGTTGACCTGCATCTCTCAAATCTTTTATTGTAAGTCTGACCGTCAGCATTTGACATCTGTCACAGACATTGCGATATTCGAAGTAACCGGGCGATTATCGAATCAACTGCGACATGCCACAAGTTGGAGATGAGGGATTTTACGATCAAGAAAGATTAAGGAAGGGTCATTGATCTAAAGTTCACGAGGTTATATAGTTCGACTTGGTAATTCAGTTTCTTGGTTTTTTGAAGCTTTTGGTAGCTTTGTTTGTTTTCCACTTCGCATTAATTTGACCCAAATGTTAATTATTACAAATTCAACGTAATCACTAGAAACATAACCGTATTGTATCAAGATGCGAATCGCATTCATAGACCTACACGATTTATCTATTAATAATTAAATCAAAAATCTTAAAGAAAAATCGTGTTCATCCTGAGAAGTCGCTTTATTTCAAATGATATATAAAGTCAATACAAGCCAAGGCCATGCAATAGATATTAGCCTCTTATTTCACAGAAAGGTGTTCAAATGTTCACTGATTTGATAAATGTCCTGTTAGAAACAATTTGTTGTATGACGCTTTAAGTAAGTTCAAGTAATAGCAGTTTGGTCGCCGTATGTTCATTCATTTTGATAGCGACTTCTATCATTGTGGCTCTTTTCTAGAGTCACTACCAGCCGCCGCACGACATCGTACATATACGATATCGTCGTTTACACTGTCTCCAAGAACCATAGCGCATACAGTGCATGTACTGTCTGCGACACCTCCTCCTACACCACCATCCTCCTCCTCCTCTCTCACCACTTCCTCTCGACATACCTCCCTGAGCTTCTGCTTCCTCGGGCATCAATGCCACAAACAAAATGGCGACCAAGATGGCGATGAAAATTATGCAGTTTTTCTGCATTGTTGCAATCTATCTGTGGTGCAAAGAAGGAAAATGTATATCATACCAGCATTTATCAGATTATGTTTGCTGGAACGGCATAAAATATACGTACATCGACTGGCTACCAGCCCCTACGATTTTATAAAGAATTTCCCAGCTGCACTTTACTTCAAGCTTATCTCCGCCCAATTGGAGAACTTAGAATCAGGCGTCCAAGAGATCAAAATTATAAGATTTTTTTAAATGATTTAATATTTTAGAGACAGGAGCCAGTGTTACGTACTTCTTCAAATGCAATTTTGTGAAAATACCTACAGGAAGTATGAAACCACTTAATTAATTGAAAGAATAAATTAATAACATATAACTTTGAATGTCATTAAACTCTATCAACAAATAGATTGTCATAAAGGTGGTTGCTGATCTTTTCAAATGACGTAAATACATCGCTTTTACTTCTCGTGTATTTGACATATAATGTCGATTGTCGATATTCACAGGATAAAACAAAGCATTTTTAGTTTAGGGTTTATCAGCATGAAGGGAATTTCATAATCAATACACATTTCTTACGGTATGAGGATTCTGTTTCTGTTTATAAAATGATAAGTGATAGTCGCGGTTTTTGGCAATATTTTGTGTTTCACTTTCTATTTGTATTCAATTTTCATTTAATTATAAATATTCAATTTAAAGAAATTTGATCAGTTACGGTCTACCTCCACCCTATTTTTGGTTTTACCTTCCATATAAAATGATGGTTTACGTATTAAATTCAAGGAATCCCGTTCATAAACTCGGACTGTACCGTATTGACCACCTGTCTATCGGGTCAGTTTTACTTCTTCCATGAGTGATTGCTCTATACGTATTGTACTTTTCTAGATATATCCACTATTTCATTACATTACTTGTGAGAAACGAAGAAAACATTTATATATATATATCCCATACATAAATCGAAAACATTTTACGCCCTGACTCTTTAGGTGATATTATTAACAAGTTAACATCTGAATGAGTGTTACTTAAAGTTAGACTTACCTTTGTCAGCTTTCGTGAGAGAGTATCATCATCAACAACTTTATACCATTGGTATCGCCCTTTATATACACAAAATTGAGGGGCCTTGCTCAATTTTATTGGTTCAAAGTTAGTAATTGATTAATAGTTATGCGAAGCAATGTTATTCAAATTAACAACATGCTAAATATCGTACAAAAAATTGTGTTCAAACGAACATGGAAAACAGATCTGTCTATAAATGTCAACACGGTCATATATAAACTAACAGAACGTTGGGTTTGGCTTAATAGACTGGGGAAGAAATCAACATGTAAGTTGTTGCAATAAACATGGTGTTACTACAAATTGTTTTTAACAATATAAAAATGTGTTTACCCAGCATGTTACACTGACCTGTGATTTGTGTTCAAAGAGAACAATATAGTATAAAGGTATGTGACTCGTTTAAACAACACACGACTTGACTAATATACATTTTATAATATCGTTATAATATTAATACTGCAAAAGTAGATTAGTATATATGGCGACTGTTATAAGTTTTTCTCATGACATGTCTCTTCGAACAGCTATTTTCTTTGTTTACAAGATATTTACAAAGTTAAGATAAAATATTTGAAATAGAATGTTTCATTTCAATAACACATTGCATGGATTTAAAAAACAAAAATCTGTAAAATCGACAAACAGTTAAAATGAATATAGGAAACCGTATTGGTAGCGACGAAAATGGGAAACTGTATTGGTAGGGACGAATATAGGAAACTGTATTGGTAGCGACGAATATAGGAAACTGTATTGGTAGCGACGAATGTAGGAAACTGTATTGGTAGCGACGAATATATCAAACTGTATTGGTAGCGACAGTAGCTGGACTACTGACCATCAAAGGCTTTGTTTTCGCGTTATGTAAATAAGATGCTGATCCTGTTCCAGGGATATGTGGCTGTCAATAACTTTTTCGACACGAAGACGGAACTGGACCCGTGTCGCGATGCTATTTCTGTCATGGTGGACCAGCTAGCCGACAAGCTTTATGACGCCGGCAAAATCAAAGGTAGCCGTTTATCCTTCAACTGGATTTTAAAGCAGTGAGCACTTTGCATCAATCAACAAAACGTTTGATATTAAAAACGCTCCATGCATTTATGTTTATGCTGAGGTCATACATTAATTTGATTCTACTGCACTAAAGATGTCGAGCGCTAGACGAGTATATTACCGTTCAGCGCTGGAGTACTTGAAAGTAGAGAAAAATAAATATGTGTCTTGAAGATGTCAATGTTATTTACGGATTAAGCATTAAATCACGTATGCACTAGTAGTTCCATATATACAATTTTATTTTGAAAGACATTTGACACTTTTATGCAGAATTATTTCTTATTCATTCCATTCCAGACAAAAGGAAAAATTGGAAAACGAATAACTTCTTAATTAGACCAATCACAAATGAGCATTTACAAAAATAGCCAACGCTGTTTTGGAGGTTATGATATGTAAACGTGTTATTCATATGGTCATTTATACAAATATAGTTTTTATTTTAGTTTGCCTTATTTTTTTATTGTTTTTTTTCTCAACTAGAAAAAGAACACGCAGGATCTAACATTCTTTAAGTCATAGAAAATGCCAAAGGTATGTGAGCAAATCAGTTACACACGTAACACACAAGACATATCTCTTGGAGTAAAAGTGTTCTGCGACAAGTAGGCATATCATATCGTGCTTACCTACGTGCATGATGATTCACATTTAATGCAATTATCTTACAGCATGAATACAAGGGTAAGTACAGAGAAGACTAACAGCCCTCTCTGATATACACATAAAACAGTACTTTAAACTACCACTAACAACACTGTAGTATTTCAACAGCCCTCCCAGAAATACACAGAAAACAAAACTTCAAACATTCACAGTATTGTCAACATATCAACAGACATTTTCTGACATATATAGAAGACAATATTGTAAATAACATCCATCAGTTACAAAACTGGCCTTGACCGACAGGCCATCTTGATATATTTATTAGACAAAAATGTAAATAACAAATTACAACACGTCCTTTATCGACAGGCCTTACTAACAACAAATAACAACACGTCCTTTATCGACAGGCTCTACTTACAACCAATAACAACACGTCCTTTATCGACAGGCCTTACTAACAACCAATTACAACACGTCCTTTATCGACAGGCCTTACTAACAACCAATTACAATACGTCCTTTATCAACGGGCCTTACTAACAACCAATAACAACAAGTCCTTTATCGACAGGCCTTACTAACAACCAATTACAACATGTCCTTTATCGACAGGCCTTACTAACAACCAATTACAATACGTCCTTTATCAACGGGCCTTACTAACAACAAATAACAACAAGTCCTTTATCGACAGGCCTTACTAACAACCAATACCAACACGTCCTTTATCTACAGGCCTTACTAACAACCAATTACAACACGTCCTTATCATCAGGCCTTACTAACAACAAATTACAACACGTCCTTTATCGACAGGCCTTACTAACAACCAATTATAACACGTCCTTTATCGACAGGCATTACTAACAACCAATTATAACACGTCCTTTATCGACAGGCTTTACTAACAACCAATTATAACACGTCCTTGATTGACAGGCCTTACTAACAACCAATTGCAACACGTCCTTTATTGACAGGCCTTAATAACAACCAATTACAACACGTCCTTTATTGACAGGCCTTACTAACAACCAATTACAACACATCCTTTATTGACAGGCCTTACTAACAACCAATAACAACATGTCCTTTATCAACAGGCCTTACTAACAACCAATAACAACACGTCCTTTATTGACAGGCCTTCTGTGATGTGTGGAGGAACGAGAGGATTCTGAACATGGTGGAACAGTTGTTAGGGCCAGATATCGCTGGACATCCAGTTTGGAACCTCAGGACAAAAACTCCTAGGAGTGACGCTATCAGCATCCCATGGCATCAAGGTATGCTAGACTGTCCATGTGGAAGACATCCTTCATGTTTCTTATATTGTAATTTCATTTTGTGCAGATTTGAATCTAATTTTTTCAGACAGTGCCTATTTCAGTAACGAGTCTTACGACCACATGATAGTTACCGCCTGGGTGCCTTTCCTGGATGCCATACCTGGAAACGGATGCATGCAGGTAGATAATGACGTTTATCCTTCTATATCACGTCAAAAACGGCCCTGAGTAATGTCATTTATAGATAACACAAATTCATATGATTTAAATAACACATATTGATTTTAAATTTAATTTTAATACCAGTTTTCAAGTAAAGACAGATTTAGATATTCGTTTAAAATTGAAAGTAAAATGGCTTCATGTTGTATATAGACGTTTTATGTATGGTATTTGTCTAGTGTAAAGCACACTTTGCCTAAATATATTGAATGAAAAATAACAATCAAAACGTGTGTTCATACTGTCAATGTTGTGAAGACACAGGAAGGGTAATGTCGCAAACCACACGTGCTGCCGTGGTCCCACGTGGTATGTCATGCTGGAGGAGTAAATGGAAAAGTCTTAAGGTGAGTCAAACTGTCGGAGAAAGAAATAGAAAAGTCTTTTGGCGAGTCAAACTGCCGGAAGAAGAAAAGAAACAAACGTTAGCTGACTTAAACCGATTAGGGCACTTATGATGAACGATTATTAAAGAAGAAACGGTTATATGATCTAGTAAGATGTATTATATTAGCAATTTTACATGCATGGAATCGCACAGGATAATATGATACATAAACTACGTATAATTCACATGGTTGATGTTTTGACAATCAACTATCGTTTAGTCAATCTGTACACGATACGACTTGTTTTATAGTCGAGATCATTCGTGTATTCGTAACACAGATGTCGACATGAAGAGAGATCTGGTGACATGTCCTATATATTATGGAGGATTCCTGCTGTTCCACAACCTTACACCCCACAGAAGGTTTGTCATGTCTAGACCAAATGTGAACAAACGTTAGTTTACAACGGGATAAGTTCTGAAAATATTACCCATTGTAACTTGAGGTTTTGAAGTAAAACCATTTTTCATGATGTAATACTTACCATAACTTTAGTATGCATATACACTACCTACACCAATCTTTGTAGCCCAAAAACGAAAGATTCAAATATCCATACTTCCCTACCGTGACGTAACCCATATCTCGATGACAGAGCCACTGAGTGATCTCCCTTCCTCAAACCCCTTTTATGGAGCCTAAAGGCAGCCGGGATGAGGAGGCAAGGGGAGGAATAAAAGTTGGTACTCCATAAAGTTATGGTAAGTATTACATCATGAAAATTGGTTTTACTTCAAAAACCTCAATTTCATTTCAGTAATAATTACCATAACTTTAGTATGCGAATTCGTCTCACAGTAGTGGAGGCTTCGAATCCAGGCAGACCAGGCTGACGGAACAAACTCGAGACATTCTCAAGGTAGGAAAAAGGGTCAAGGAACCCCCCTAATAATGCCCCGAAAGTAATTAAAATATGGAAACGAGAAGGTGTACCACCGTATTGCCTGATAGCATACTATTTAAAATTCACTGAATTACTGTGGAGGAACAGCCACAGACTGTGCAACCACCACCGGTCCAAGGGAATAAAATCCATCAGAATGAAAAGCCAAGGACCGGAGATAAAAATCCGAGAAGGTAGTCTGTCCGCGCCAGAAAGCCGCGGACATGATCTCCTGAAAGGGGGACCAATTGATGACGCAGCAAGGGCCAAGCTCATGAGCTCTCACCATAAACAACGCCCGAACCTGATCATCGGAGTGGTCGTAACCGTACTTGATGANCCGCCCCCGCCCCCGCACCCCGCACCCCTGGTTTTATCGAGGTAAAACCTAAAAGCCTGATTCTTAGCCATGAAGCCGGATCAGTGAGAAGGCGCATAAGGTGCCCGTATCAGCGATTCAAGCACCAGTGGCAAATTCCACTGCGGAGCCAACTGCCGGACCCTAGGCCTGTCCAACCCAACCCCCTAATCAAGGCAGAAAGAAAGGAGGACGAGCCTTCCTCCGGCCTGGTGACTGGTAGACAGAGGAAGACCTTATTGATCGAGCGATGCGATCTGACACGTCCCTAAGAAAGCCCGCCTGAGCGAGGCCTCCTGAAATAGATTCCACGCGTGAAGGTGGAGGATCTCCGGACGATAGTGCATCGTCCTGGACCGAGGCTGGCGAAGGAGGTTCGCTCTGAGAGGAAGAGCCAGCGGCTCTTCCACCAGAAGCGACAAAAGCACCGGACACCAAGGCTGCCTCGGCCACAGGGGCGCTATCAGGGGGAGGGAACACTGATGCTCCCAATACTTCTGCAGCACCCTGCCCACCAGGTTGACCAACAGCCTCGGGCGGAGGAAATGGGCCAGCAAGAGGGGCCAACTCTAGAAGGCTCTCCATAACGGCGTTTTGGTGCAGTGCGCCTAACGACCGTGACTGTAGGTTTAGACTAAGTAGCCAAAACCCTACCCTTGGACCAAGAGACTAACGAGCCTGCCCGAGAGGCAGAAGTCCTAAAGGTCCGACACACCTTCTTAGGACCGGCCGATAAGGCCCCCTAAGTAGCATAACGATGGAGGGGGGAGGGTCAACAGAACACGTCTCCGCGAGGGAGAGACCAAACCCCAAGGATTCCATGGCGGAAAAGCCATGGGGTTAAACCCATACCCCGAAGGATCAGGGAAAGGTCCCGCGGGCTGGGAGTGACCACAGAACTGGCCAAACTGGCCTGCCTGAGACTGGGGCGTGCCACCTTGCCCAAAGGACGAAGGTGGACCACCACTCCCTCCAGGTGGAAACCCGGACATGTACGGGCTTAGCCCGTAACTGCCGGGATGCTACCGCAACCCAAAACCATCCGCAGGTTGGTAAGGACGACCCAAGGATGGTTGCCCGCAGGCACCCGTATACCCTAAGCCAGGGGGAAATGGAGGCTGGAAACCAGCCCCCTGTCCAGCAAACCCAAAATCTGGAGGGAAACCCCCAGGTTAACTCCGGGCCGGACCTAATAGGACCGGGTCTGGGTAACTGAGCGGGAGGGTAATCCTGACCAGCATTGGTGCCGGGATTAGTGAGCTGCGTGTCACTAATGCCGGTAGAAACAGACAATCCCGAAAGAAAGTCTGTAGTCACACCAGGACCTGAACCCGAAAGAACAGTCCCGGCACCAAGACTCTCCCGAACGACAGCACAACCTGGAATGCCGGGATCACTAACAGTGAGTCAGTGATCGGCGGCCGGTAGTCCCTACCCGAAGGCAAGCGCGAAAGCTTACAGGCGTTCCCGGCCAATTCGACCCTGGGCTGTGCCAAACCAGGGTCGGGTTGCCCCTCCCCTACTCCAGGGAGTTCATGAACAGGAAGGGCCATCCCCTACTCACGAGAGGGACTCGCCGAGGCGAGATCCCCCGAGACAGGAACAGAGACAGTACCACCAGACCCAGAGAGCTTGTGGCACGACCCTCTCTGCTTCCCTCGCTTACCGGAAGAAGCAGACGAATCTCTCTTAAGGCAAGATTAGTGTAGCTTTGGAACAATGAAGGCCTTGTCCTGTGATTCAGTCTGTGAACAAAGTTCACAAGGCGAAACCTCACTGCAAGGACAACACTGGGGACAAGCATCATGAGGGTCCCGTTCCACGAAGAAATAGGAACAACAATGAGCTGTCCCCCGTCCCGAGACATACCCTCAAAAGCAAAAGTAAACAAAGTTTACAAGCAGACTAACACGGGAAAAATTAATAAAATACGATAGTACAAAGTACGCAACGTAGAAAGAATTTCACCCGTAATATAAATCCGAAACGGTTAAAATCAATAACGTTTGTCGAAAAAAACAACCGTCACTGAAATAAACAGAGGTCGGAAATTTACACACAATAATGGCGGACCGCGTGGCACACCACCGACACACGTGGAGTAAAACAACCAAGCGAAAAGGCACAAAAATAATTTTCACCAACAAAGTATTGTAGTAATAAGGCGAGGTGGGTATAAAGCACACAAACTGCGCAATAAATTGAGTTGACACTCAAATCAAACCGACATAACGGAGCTAGTTCCGGGCCGTCAGCAGGCAGCAGACGCCATAAAAGGAAGAGAAAGGGAGATCACTCCGCGGTTCTCTCATCGAGATATGGGTTACGTCACGGTAGGGAGGTAGCGATATTTTAATCTATTGTTTTTGGGCTACAAAGATGGGTGTAGGTATTGTATATGCAAACTAAGGTTATGGTAATTATTACTGGCCAATGCTAGTTTTACACCTGTTTATTGTCTATAAACTGTTCATTTTTTATTTGTTTTATTATCGTTTTACAGACATGTGTCGTGATAAATGTCTTGGAGCAATGGATGTTCATAACTTATCCATTCATTACTTTCATCCCTTTTAAGTTTTGTTTGATGTTTGTTAACGTTGTTTTGTTTTTGTGACGTTTACCTTGACTACCCATACCGTTCATTCTGCTATATATAGTTGTTTGTACGGTGAGGTTATAAGTTCACGGACATGGACAGTTGTTAACATATACGCACATAAGTGTTTCTGATGGACATGTCACGTTTGACAATAACTTGACGACCAGGATAGGTCATGTGACAAAGTAATAAAGACCCCGACAATATGGGATACAATTACATACAAATATTTATTGTAAGGTTAGATATACATATCATTATTAATAATCTTGTAATCTCGATCACATGTTTCATCACTCTCGAAACATAAGTATTTGATGAGTTACCTTCTAAAAAAGAGATTCATTACACCAACTGACCCTGTATATTTTAATTAGAGATTGTCAGCAGTTAATAACTATCATAAGTCGCATCTTGAGTCTCGCTATTCAAGCATTTTTTCAAAAAACATACAAGTCACAAATAATTTTGTATAAATGAATTGACTGTACACGTCAAAGCAAAAATAAATCCTGAGATCTATCATTTGATATACACCCGTAGTAAACACCATACCATGTGGACATAGTAAGCAGCTCACTGTTAGTCAGCATGGGATCCTGCCGCATATCAACACATAAAGCATTGTTTTCTTTTTGCTTTCTGTATCGCTCTGTTCATATAGCACACAACAACTGTGTAGACATATCAGCATGAAAAGCATGATAATAATACATTCATCTAGAACTTATCCTCAACCCAACGAATCATAAAAAAACCTATGTTTTGCATCATCATCATCATAATAATGAAAGTAGATAGTCTGCAAGTTGCCGTGTTAATACATTTTTTCAACGTCTTTCGTACGGAAGCTTAGATAATATATCAAACGACATCAAAAAGAGTTGTGACTTTCGGTGGCAGTCCCCCAATGAACATTGGGGATTCTATGGCCTGGGAGAGGGGGTCCCAATGAGATCCGCCAAAGACCCAAGTATGAAGGCAGACTTTCAGAAGTTGTTCTCATTTGACAGAAAAGAACAATGGCAGAAACGATACTACAGAAGGTAATTATCTGTTTATATATTTTAAGTTGCTTTATATTTATATAGCTTTTGATGGTCTATAATGCTAGGATAGACATACACCTTGTATACAAGAAATTGCTTTCTGCAGTGTCACCATAATTGGTTCAATGGACATTTGATTAAACGAAACATCTTATATCTAACTACAAAACAGAGTAATGCTGATCGTACAGTAAATTGTTTTATCTTATACTTTAGGAGGACGACAACGATCCTTTCGATACCACCATCACTGGACCCTGGATAGGACGCTGAGAAATTGTCAACCACAACAAACACACGGAGGCATTCAAACCCTTCATGTAAACCCGCCTAAACAGATATCCTCTAATCAGATGCTATACTCTGAAGGCAGGATGCTATTTTCTTGCATACTAGTCCGAGATATCCGCTTTTCTGGAGGTGCTGGAAAATTCTATCCGACCCACGGGTCTGGATCGCTTACACGCGCAGGCTGGCGGGGGAATTATAGTAACCGTTCGGGGTCAGGCTATTGTTCGTGACGTCATTCTATGACGTTTTGACGTTTGTTCTACGTTATGATGTGAGGATCGTTTGCCAGTTCAGCATAGAACATTGATCAATATGTGCGTAAGTAGAATTGTTGACTTTGTTTTTGTCATCACTTAAACGTGTATATGCACAGACTCTGCTACTTGATGAGTCTATCATGTAACTATTACGTAACTGATCAATGTAAATATGTCTGGGCTATCAGTTAACATATAAATGTAATTTGTTATGCGCAATGTTGTTATGATTGTTTGCCGTATCAGCATTAGAACTCCGGAAAAGTAACCAGTCATTAGGTGTGATCCCGTCATGGTGTCCTCCGTCATATCCAGGACAAGTTACTTCATTGTTAGACTGAGACCCGTGCATGTATTCGATACACATGATTCTCATTCTAAAAAAAGAAATAGGATATTTAGCTAAACTTTGCAATAGGACATTTCAAAACAACGATTATTCTAAGAAGTCTCCGGTTTCCTAATTTAAAATACAGCGCTTCATTATACGGGTGTAGAATTATTTCAGCTTTGACTGTGTATACTAACTTAAAACATGTTTATTAAACAGCTGTTATATTAGAAGTCAGTGTTATTACGTACAGGACACAAGCTCACGTACAATTATCTGGAACGCATACATACTTGACCTTTATATACACTGTATAGGACTGTTTTATCGGAGATCATGCTGATATTATACTCACGAAAAGAGCACTTAATAATGCGGTTATCTACTAAAAGTACCAAATGAAATTATAATGTCTGCAATATATTCAAAAGTATACATTTTGTGAGGAGGTCTTATTTCTTATTTTATTTTTATTTATATGATTATTCTGTAAGAGACGTGAAAATGACTGATCCGTAACCAGAATGAAGTTTGTAAAGTTCTATAAATGAATTCGGAATAACTAATTCAAACGTCTTACTGAAAAAAAAGAGATGATGAAAATCAAAGGTCATAATATTATATCAGAACTCTGGCACTGTTAGTGTTATACTTTATCGAATACGAGCATTACCGACAATACAACATAAGGTCAGGGTTGTGTGATATCTCTATGTACACTTAATTATAGTAAGTGCTTACTTATCAAGTAGAGATGAAAAACACAAAGCATATAGCACAGAATTAGAGAACCCTGGGTAAGCATTTTCGGGTACATTTTCCCTTACATCAAACTTTTGTATTATTTTTCATACATCACATGTGGTCCTTAGGCTGGATAAGATTTTGTATCAATCACATCTACATCGACATACTATGCATGCACAAACGTGTATAATTTGATAAAGGTGTAATGTTAAAATGACATATTACAGATACCTTTATGATGAGCAGACAAGTAGAAACATCTTTTGGCTCATATATAATATCCCTTGTTGATAATTATGATAACTATTATAACTTTTATCAATTAAGGCTCCATACAGTGTTCTTTATAGGTGTGTAAGCTGGCAGACGCTTAAATCTAATGAAACCAAAAAAACTTGGGTAAATATTTAACATATGTTTTAAGATATTGATTTGATTGATTGATTAATTAATCAATAGAATCGGATTTCTTGTTTCCTCCATACCATCGAACGGACGACGACCTAACGTGTGCACTATAATAACAATGCAGGAACGCTCTAGTTTTACTAGGTTTCGCCTCTGGGCTATAGTTAGCGTTTACGAGGTCTTTACGTTCGATTTGGTGTCTCCTTAGCTGCTGATGTAATCTTTCCGGATAGAATTTTAATTATGATTTTGTCTTTGCATATAGCCTCCATGTAGTAGGCGTATAGTACCTGGCCCAGGAAGCCAAGGTATTTTTTTCTAAATCGTGTGTGGTACGTCTAACGAGGTATGAACGAGGAAATGGCGTGGTTCTTATTGAATTAATTCAAATGTTGGACCAACGAACAAAGGCTAGAGTGATAGCACTGTGGACCAAAGTAAAGATATCTCCTTAGAATAGTATTTCTGACTAAAGAAACCATTGTGAATAGTCAGTATATGAACGAAGTAAGTTTCGCTTCTTGGAGATGT